CGCATGGTGTACGCCATGGCTGCCGATGGGCTGTTCTTCCAGGCGTTTGCCCGCGTGCACCCCCGGATGCAGGTGCCCATGGTGGGCATCCTGGTGTTCGGGGTCCTGATGGCTCTCCTGGCGCTGCTGCTGGACCTCGAGGCCCTGGTGCAGTTCCTATCCATCGGGACGCTGCTGGCCTACACCTTCGTGGCCGCCAGCATCATCGTGCTGCGCTTCCAGAAGGCGTCTCCACCCGGATCCCCAGGCCCAGCCAGCCCCGGCCCCTTGGCCAAAGAGCACGACTCCTTCTCAGACCACATACAGCTGGTGGATGCTGGGCAGGCCTCGGACCCTGAGCCCGGGCAGCTGCGACTGGCCCTGAGGCCCTACCTAGGCTTTCTGGGTAGGTGCAGCCCTGGAGGTGCCGTGGCTTGGGCGCTTGGCGTTCTGATGGCCTCGTCTATCACCCTGGGCTGCGTGCTGGTCTTCGGGGACTCAGTCCTGCACCTCCCACGCTGGAGCTATGTCCTGCTGCTCCTGTTCAGCGTTGTCATGTTTCTGCTCAGCCTCGTCGTCCTGGGGGCTCACCAGCAACAGCACCGGCCAGACACCTTCCAGGTACACCCCGGCCAACGCCCGCTCATGCCCAGCCCAGCCCGTTCCCTTCACCCCTTCTTCCTCTGCCATTCCGGGATACACTACTCATGGGGCCGGGGAGGCCAGTACACCCCTCTTTCTGCATGGGCAGCAAGCACTTGATTCCAAAATCTCCAGAGGTAGGGGGCCAGCAGATGGCATAGTGGTTATGTCACCAGACTCACAAGTGGCCAGCCGTGGTTCAAGTCCCAGACTCAATGATGTGAAACTCACACCGGGCGTGTGGGCGTGTGTGTGTGCATTCGTACCCAAAACCCCAAGAGGAGAATGGGAGAAAAAAGATTGTGGCATGGCCATCCCCTTTGGGGGGTAATTTCCTACTTTTCCTCTCACTGTCTCTGTCTCAATATCTCTGGTGAGCACATGTACCCAAAGGCAAAACCTCTAAAAAAATTAAAAAAAAAAAAAAAGAACTCTCTGGGACCAGCAGTTAGCGTAATGGCTATGTCGCTGGACTCCCATGTAGTCGACGGTGGTTCGAGTCCCGGACCCAGT